CTGGCCTCACAAAAAAATCTGAGATTTAGCTCTGGTTTTTGATACTTTGGCTTGAATTTGGGGTGAAGCAGGGCCAATAAAGGCACTAGTGTTTTTTCTTCAAGGCATTTGTAAGCACAAATTAATCACCCAGTCTTCACATCACCGCTCAAGGTGAAGAGTGTCTCTTTTTGTCAGGCTGTGCTGGTAAACTCCGATGCCTTCACGTGCGTTCCTCTGTGCAGTTTTGAGTTCATTTCTGCATGTGCTTAGCTGAGCCCAAGGTTGGGCTCAAGGTTTTTAATCAAACAAGGAGCTCTGGCTGAGCAAGGAAATCCCTATTTATGAAGAATGCTAAAAAATTATTGAACATGACAGTGTAGCCCTGGAGTTCTGGGAAGTGTGAAGGGCAGTTTTGACGGTAAACCGAACATATAATAGAGACCTTGATCTCAGGGTTTTTACTGAATGACAGGCTGAAAAGCTGGAGTATTTTATGACACTAAGAATGAGCTTCAGCCCACTGACCACAAGGGTGAAGTAAGCTCCTTGGATAACTGGCATCTTGCCACCACTGTCTTCCCTGACTGTCCCCTGAATGCTTGGGTTTGTCTTCCCAGCCCTCTCCTGCCAAGCAAAGAGGATTATGCTGTTCAGCGGTTGGCCAGCATTTAAATAGCTTTAATAATCCAGACCATCTTAAATGGGATCTGACATGACTAAAAGTATAACATGCTCCACAGCTGATTGATTGGTAGCTTTCATTCCATAGATGTATCTGCAGCCAAAAATGGCGGAGGAAGAGGGAAAACAAGGTTCTTGCTGCATGACAAAATGAAGCAAATAATTCACAACTAGTAACTAATGTGATCTCCTTCTGAAGACTAAAAATACCTTGCTTTTATTCAAAGTGTATTACTAGTGCATGGTCAGGTAAGTAAAATTATGTTATTTCCATTTCTGGCCTGGTCATAAGAACAAGATGTTCCAGAACAAATTTGAGGTTCATTTCCTGCAAATACTGGTTTATGAGATTTTAAAACTGGCTTTTGGTAAATGTTCATGAAAGTGCAATTTGAACTGCACGCATGTTTGTAGAAAGTGAACAAAGGGAGCTTGAGAAAAGAACAGAATTATATTTTCTGTTCCTTCTTCATTTTCTGTATTAACATAACTCAGAGCTCTCCAACCTCAGAAAGCTTGAAATCTTGGCTCTGTGACCTCACCTCCAGAGGAGGTGGTGTCTCTGCTGTAGGCACCCTGGTGCTAGAGCCCACCACTGTTGCAGAGAGGACGAGGAGAGTGATGCTTCCGAAGAGGAGCCTTCTCTCCTACTTTGGCAGCGTTCCCCTACAGCCCACCTCCCCGGACTGGCATGCAGCTGCACCCAGCGACTCGTGTCCTCTGTGAGTGGCAGGAGGCTGGATGGAAGTAAAACTGGCCAAATCGAGCCAGAGGGCCGCAAACTGTTTCATAGTTATCTGTCTCAAGGGCTGAGCCTTATGGTATGGAAACGTGGCCAGGGAACGCGACACAGGGATTTGACTAGGAATGCCCAAATGCCTGGTTTTCATCTGTCTAGAAACTGCCCAGTACTGAACTCAGCTGAACTTCTTACTTTCCCACGCATCTTTCAGCTCTGCATCTTTCAGCTCTGCAATGAGCAGGCTAGGTCCTATGTACCTTAGCTAAAGCTAAAGAGGAAATCCATTTAAAAACGTCTTATGAGTTTCGGAGTTCCTCAGTCCTGATGCAGTAAAAGCTGCTTCCAATTATTCCACAACAGGAATAAACAGCCTCGTACTTTGTTTGAAACTGAAGCCTGAAACAAATTTAAAGGATTGCAAATCCAAGTAGGAATGTGGGTTGGTACAACCCCTAAAAGTCAGTCTTGGTAAGGTTCTTTCCTGTCTGCTCAGGTGTTCTTTCTAACTGTAGCTTTAAATTCAGAGTTTCAAAAACAGCTTAAAAATCTTTTAATAAGGACTGAATAGACAAAACCCACAAAGTTAACAAATCTGGTTTCCCTTGTCGAGCAGTATGAGAACAAAGGTAGATAACAGCAACAGGAATAGCCTTAAGAAACACAGAAGGTTTATAACTTAGAGCACAACTCCACCAGATGGCTTTTAGTTGAATTTCAGTTGTTCTTCTCCTTATAAACTTTACACTTACTTTCAAGAAAAGTGACTCTGGGAGAAATTAGGCATGCACTCCTATGTTTTGTGTGATATACATTTGTGAAAGTTGATTGCAAAAATACAAAATTATGGTTTATTATGAAAATCAGATCTAAGTAAATGAAACAAACATAGAACTGAACACCAGAGAAGACACGTAAAATGGCTGAAGCTTAAATAATCTAATTATAAACATGGTGATGTATAGGATGCCAGCATCAAATTCTGCAATACTTCATATCCCATGTATGTAAATCTAATGATCCAAACCTCATACAAAGCAGGCTCTTGATACTCTTCCAGCTAAAGTACTAGATCCAAAGCTTACAAAGTCAGTATGAATCATTTAAGTTTTGGAAGCTGAATGCCAATTTTTTTGCAGAAAATTATCTTACATATAAACTAAAAGGAAAGCCTTGCATTTTTCCTAGCTGAAACTTTATAATTAAAAGTAGTCTTGAATATTGTAACAATGATTGGGACATAATTATCTAGAATAATGTATTACTGCTACATTAAAGACAACAGGTAAGTATCACATGTAAAATGCCTTTCAGTAAGGCATTATCATAGAATATGGGCTATGAGGAACTGTATTTACGTGGCTACTAATGACATGGTTTTTCTACAGGAAAGAACATGTGTAACTGCTCCAAAACAATGTTCCAAAAAAGGTCCAGAATACACAACGGCTGTTGCTAATGGCGCAGTTGCGCTGTGGAGACTGCTCTGCTCCGTCACAACACGGACAGGACAGAAGGACGCAGATGCCGGGGTTTAGAGTGATACAGCTTCCTCTGTATTCAGCCACTGGTTGTTTCTAAAGGTGAGGTTCATGTAAACTTCTTCTGAAAATAATCTTTTTTCCTTATGCCAATGTCACTTTTTACTCTGAAGTCCTCATTTACTGCCAGGTAAGAGAGCCTAAGATGGCTCCAGTCTTCACGGTCTTTGGAATTATTTTGTTAAAAAGATAGTAATTTATTTCCACTTTTTCACCAAAACATTTTTGGTCAAACAGAAAACAACTCCAAATTTGTTTCAAAGAAGAGAGCATTAGGACGTATTTTTAGATAGATACACATTATGCAAACTACGGTTCCTTCTCAAGATCAAAAAATCCGTATGTGTTTCCACAGGCTTTCAACACAAATTGCCTGTCAGGGTAAAATCTTGAGAACTGTACTCTAACTAGGATGATGAAGGAAAATTACTGCCAGACAGATTATATAGTCAAGAAAAACCGTGTAAGTTATTTTGTGCCTCCTAGCTTGAATACATATGGGACAAATGCAAATTTTCCAAACAAAATACAGCTTAGAGTGCATAAATTTCAAACAGATAATAGTTTGCACTTATTAAAGCTTCACTTGGATCATAAACAGTGCTTTTTCCTGAAATGTCAGCTTTTCCGTAAAAACTGTTTTTTCCCCTAAAGGAGCATCAATTATAAATAATGATCTAGCCACTAAAATTGAAAGGGCTAGACTTGAAGCAAATAAACTGAAAAAATATTATTAAAAAATTATCTTGCCATGCACTCTAGTTATCCTTTGAGGGGATGGCATGGGAGTTATTGCTTATTGGCAGATACATAAATACTTGGTCTGGAACAGCCAAGAAGTCATGCACAGATCTACAACCGCATGTACCTACAGGGTGGGCATAGGTTGAGCTTTTCTGAAAAATTAAATGTCACAAGCAAGCCCTATAGCTGTCTGGGTCCCGAGCACTAACTAAAAGTTAGTCTTAGCAGCGGATAATGGGATAACTCGTATGAAAAGCTATTCAAAGCCTCTTTGCACTCAGCTAGGTTGATTTAGATTTAGCTGCTCAAAGCATGGCACTAAATCAGCAGACAGAGTGTATTGGTGCCTCCCGAGACGAAGTTCTGAATAAATGATGTTAGAATAAAAACAGGGAAGAGCCCAGATACAAAGATAAACCGAGGCACGTTTTGCAGTGGCTTTGGGAATAAAGATTGAAATGAGATGGGAACGCTTGCGGCAGCAGCAGGACATGGGTGCTGAGGAGTGGACGTGGCTTCTTTTTGCAGCACAGCTCTGCACCAAATGGATTTATCTACCGAAAGGTAGCTCTATCTCTGCTGGAATGGGCGGACAGTCAATATATTTTGAGACAAATCCCCCCCGGCCAAGCTTTTCAGGGCATTGCCTATCCCTTCTGCTGGGAGGAGCGCAGTTTGCATAGGCAATAGCGTGAAAACACCAGCCATTGTATTTTTGTTTTCATTGTAGAAAAGCCTTCGTGCTTATGTTGGGGAGAAAAATGTGAAGAAACTACATCCTGAAAACTTCGAAGTCAGGGCATAGAAGTGCTGTAAGCGTGCTCCCCTTTCGGGATTTTTGGAGGGGCTTGCGGGCCCGATGGCTGTTGACAGTGCGTGTGGTGGCCGCAGAGGCACATCTCCTTGCTGCAAAGGGACATTCAGGGTCAGCTTTAAAGGCAGTGAGTGAAATTTGTGGCCCGGCCAGCTGGAGGGAGCCAAGAGAGGCGGAAGCCTGCCTTGGCTCCCCTTCAGCGCTGACTGCAGCCCGCAGCTCCGGGGCCACACAAGGCGGCCATGGCCGCCGACTCCGTGGCGGGCGGAGACCCCCCCGCCGCACGGAGTAGTCTCTTCCAACATTCCCCCCACCTCCCGCCTAGGGTCAAATGGACTCTCCTCGCCGCGCTGCCATGGGAACGGCGGCAGCGCTGAGGGGAAGCGGGGCCGGAGCGGCCCGGCCCGATCCCCGGGGGGGTGAGCGGGGAGCCGGGCCGCGGGGGGACCCGGGGGTGGGGGGTTCCCCACAGGGGCTAAGGCTCCCGCCGAGCAAGCGCGTCCCTCCCAGGGAGTTGCCGCCCGCCGCTGGGCTGAGGGAGCGTGGGGGGGGGAGAGGTGCGAGCGCTGCCAAGGCCTGTCCGGGAACCCGTCGCCTCACAGCTGGAATTTGTGATCGTCCTCAACACTTTTCTCTTTCTCCCCCACCTTACAGCTTTCTGGGTTTAGGGTGAAATTCTAGGCAGTTTCCTGCTTCCCTGTCCTTCCTACCCCGTGCATCAGTCTTTTTAAAAACAGAGCCATCAATAACGAAATAAACAAAAAAAGCCCACTGCTTTGACAGCAGGTTGGTGGGTTTGTTTTTCTTGGAGTTTGGTGATATTTTTTTTTTTTTTTAATTTTTAATACCATTTTTGTCTCTCCTTCTGGGTTGTTCTGTATTTTCTTACAGCTGTCTTCTGGACTGACTGAAATCTGTGAGCCCTGCTTAGCAGAAACTAGAGTTTGATAGAAGCATTAAAGGCAAGTACTGACTTTGGTCCATTCATTCACTTGGTTTTATCCCCACCTGCTGCTTCACTTGCTCTGTTTGCTTCTGGGCAATGCTTTTGCTGGAGTTCACAAGGCAATTACTGTTGCTATATAATGTGGATGATAAGGCATGATCTCATGTAACATACTTGCTAAGGTGATTATTTTTTTTTTTTTTTGTAGACTTAATGGAGACACAGAGATCCATTCTGCTAGTGTCTTTCATGTTTGAAGTTACTTGAAGTTGAAATAATAGGTTTTGGTTAAACTATGGAAGTTTGGTTAAACTGCAAGATGAGCAACTGGTAGAAGTAGGTGTTGACTTCTCAGGAGTCATTGAGACAATACATCTTTCCAGTGTGTGACAAAATTGCTCAGTATGGGAAAATAATTAAGGGAAGGTATCATTTTGCTATTTTAATCAGGGTTTCATGATTTTATTTGATGCATGTTGTATACAGCATTAAACGGAAATGGAGAATTTGTTTAGAAATAGTGAAGTTTGAAATGGTTGATGTCACAGATAATCGGGGCATGGAAAATACGAGTTTACTGTGAGAGACTGAGATTACATTAGCATAACTGACTGCTGGATTTAGATTAGTTGTTAGGTGCAGATTTATAAGGCAATCAAAGTTTGTACGGTTTTTTTTGGTGTTTTTTATTAATGTGACTTTTTTTTTTTTTTTCCCCCACTAATCAGTGAAATGTTAAATGCTTGGAAGGACCAGAGGTCTGAGAGTTTCAGTTGATATAATTAATGGCAAATGGGTGGAGAGAACTGCTAGATGAATTTTTTGTTGCCCTAAGAATTCTTCTTCAAATGAAATAGTTTGGTTTGAATTATTAGTAAGTGGATAGGACTCAGTCTAGCATGAAATCCATGTTCATGGTTATGATAATTGGGTATGGGCTATTATGTGTACAGTAGTATCCCTTTGGATTTTATGGGTTTATTGATGTGAGAAAGCTTTTGGAATTTAGTCTGCTCTAGTTAAACTCCTGTAGTTTGAAATAAACTGCAGCCATCTTCAGCTGTTTTTAAGTTATAAAGCTATCTTTAAACTGATTAGGAAGAAATTTGAGCTAAGCTGAGATACAGGATGTATGGAATTTGTGTTCATTTAGCTATGCAGGCTTTAAAATTGACTTAAATTTCATTTAGCAGTTTCTGGTTTGTTCAGTTGTACTGCATACCTACTAGCAGCACAGAGGAATCTGCTAAAATGATGAAATTTGAGTATTAGTGTGTGTAGAAGAGCAGGCAGAAAGGACGTGGGTAATTAATGCTTGATTTATTTATGTTGATGAGCTGCTTTATTCTTTGCCTCTCTGGAAAATTGTCGTACATATTAAAGGGATTAGTTAAACAAAAAGCACACAGAAAAAGGGAACTCTATATTTAAATGACAAGTCTGTTTCAAAGTACAGAGTTTGTTTCAGAGAAGTTTGGGTTTGCCACATTTGTCCTTGCCTTTGGTGGCCTTCCCTGGCTGTCCCGACAGCCTGTCTCCTGGGTACTTGAGGACAAGCTAAGGGTGAGTATTTCCCCAAGTCGGGTATGTTTAACTGTGAGTGTTGCAGTCTCAGGGATTAACAGCAGTTCTTATAAAAAGTAGGATTATGTTCTAATACCTGGTAAATGAATTTAGGTATTTTTTTAGAACAATTCAGGTTGTTGATCACCTTCTCTCTATCCCCTGTTACTTATAACTTGATGCTTTTTTTTTTATCCACTCAGTATTACTGTCTTCCTGAAACTTTGTAGACGGTTTTATCGCTGATAGTATCACAAGTTTTAAGTTACCTCTTTAAATATTTGCTTCCAATGGAATATGTTAAAGTTTATTTAAAAATATCATTTATAGGAGTTAACTGCTTTCCCTTCTTGAGCTTGGTAAGCTGGCTTCAGTCATTTACATCTGTTTTTAGTATTAGATAGTCCTTGGGCTACGTCAAAACCAGTGTGTTATCTCTGCCTGTCTAGAGGTGCTAGTCCTGCTAGCACACATTCACCAATAGAAGAATCATCTTCTATTCTAATAGAATCTTGTTTTATCTGAGAACGTGATAAAAGAATGATGGGTTTTAAGCGATAAGAAAAAAAGGAGTGCTTGTTTTTTCCAGCACAGTAAGGAACACGTTTTGTGCGCACATCTGACATTTCTGTCAGCACGGAAATGTCCCTGCTTTTAGGTTCCGTGGCACCAGCTGTTTTAACTGTTGGTAATGTGCCATTGGCAGGTGTTTTGCCTCATGGATGGAGGTATTATTTGGACACATTTTAACTGTATTAATGGTTATTTTCAGGTTTATGTGCAAACAGGCAGCTGAGCTGTTGCTGTTGAGATCAGTTACACATTCGGTGTATTTCAAATACTGAGCTTCCCCACATCATTTCAATTAAATCCTGCTTTCAGCTGGAATCTGATAGCCAGCAGTTGAAGAACAGTTTCCAAAGTCCTGTTAGCTATAAGTCTCTGGACCATAATGTTTTTTTATCTTTTCCATGTGCATCCCAGCAGCACAAGTAAACGTTCAGCTTTGGCACTGTGCTTGAAATCGAGTGTTGGCATGTTTCTTCCAGCAGCCTGCTTAGTCTGTACTAGTTATGCTGCAAACATTCTAGCGCAGGTAGGGTATGCATGTTAAGCTTCAGTTTGGACTCCGTGCTGTATGAACTTGCTTGTTGGAAGAGTATTTTACAACCTGGGGAAAAAAATTGTCTTTAAAATATCACTGTCTTGGAGTTTTGAGAGCAGGGAGTAACTCTGCTCTGCGAGTTACCGTATTGTCTTGTATCAGTCTGTATATGACACAGGACATTTATCTTTCCAAATCAGTTGAGATGGTTTGACTTCATAGCCATTGATACAATTTTCTCTTTCGCTGTGCTTTCTGTGGGTTTGGTTCAAGAAAGCTGTGTTTTATTTAATATTAAACTGCTTTCATTGAACTTTAGGGAATCATCTGAATGAAACAGACAAGTAAATCTTTTCCCTGGTATCATAACTGTAATAAAAAGTTTTTCTTTCACTTAAATTTAATTTAGAGTTGCTCTAGGGTTTTATTGGTACTTCATATAAACAAGTTCTGTGCTCCATTTCTCTCCTATGCACTAATAATTTTGGATTTGTAACAAGTTTTTACTGTTTTAATTTCAATCAAATTCCCATTTCAACAGGTTGCTAATTGTAGATCAGTGAAATTCTCTTTTTTAGAGAAGATCATACTGGGCATCATGAACAGCAACAATTTTGTAATACTCCCAGGCTCAAAAACTGGAACCTCTGTGAGGTTAAAAGCAAAGTAAGTGCATTTTATCTGATTGTGATAGAGATGTTATTTCATCATTTTGAATAAGTTTTAATGCAACATTAAATAGAAGAGCTTATTTGTGTAAGAGCAAGAAGAATCATGATGTTTCTTTTCTAGTGTTTTCCCTGTGGTTTTATCCTTAAGCCTCTCTTTTCTTAGGCTTTAATCTACTTTCTGAGTAAGTTCTAGGTTTTATAATTCTATATATCTAACATATATACTTTGTAAACAAGCAATACTAAAGAATTCACTGGGATAGTTTATTTTAATATAATTATGCAAGAAACCTTTCTGAATACAGGCACAATTGTATCAGTTTTATGTTGGCCACTCTAAAGTTTGGATTGGAGTAGCCATATCACTGTCAGCATACCCCTCTGTAATGAGGTATTCTTGTGTCCCTGAGTTTGCACCTGGCCTGCCCTAAATTTTCCAGAACTGTTTTCAGTCTTGCTGGGAGTTAGAATGGTGATGTGCCTTTAATGACAAATTTTTAAACTTTTTTTTTTCTTGCCGCTTTAAACTTCCTCAGGTACCTTACTGTCTTTCATGTAATTTCTAATGAATATTTTAATACTTTAATTCCTCCAGAACTGTCAGAGAATTGCAGTCGGAGAAAGTGCAGTTGGAAGCAGAAAACAAAGAGATGGAGAAGAAATTAAGGCAACTACAGTCAAACATGAGCAGAGAAAAAGAAGAGAGAAAGTAGGTTAAATTTCTGTTTCAAATAGAGGAATCCAATGAGATGCTCCCTTGACATCTCCCCCTGCCCCAGATGGGATCTCTTGCCAAGTCTGGAATTCACAGTAGTGTTCAGTCTCCTCTCTCATCTTTCTTCCCGCTGATAAATGTGCTTTCTTATTCTTATCCTATTGCTTTCTTATTTTTAAACTCTCATGTGATTTTTTTTTTTTCTTTTGGAAGTAGAAAACTAACAAATCCTTCTTGGCAGGGATATTCCTTCAGTGGCAGAGATCCTTCTTCCTCATTTAATCCCTCTTGTCCCTTTCTCCCCTGTCCAATCATATTTGTCACCTTAGTTTTAAAGCAGGAGACAGAAAGTTTCTCTTCCATTATTTCAGTCTAATTTCCTGAAGTTTCTAAAGAGGATGCTGTTCTTCATCTTTGATTAATGCTTTGATCCTGTGTTGCATGCATCTGTGTAGCTTCTCAGAAAGACATCTGTATGATGGAAAACATGACTTGGAAAGTAAGCGTAATGTAATGAAGCAAGTGCTAGGGTGGAAGTTTAAATCTCTCAGCTCTGTTACTGGCTCACTCTGAATGCTAGCAAATCTCTGCAAGATCTGCTTCCTTTTTTTTGTATTTCTGCCTGACATACCATGACACTGGAGGTACAAGTGCCTTGGATACCTTGGTGCTTTAGTCTTGGTAATGCTAAGGGTCTGCTGTTTGCAACTCTGTAAACTTTTGCTTGAGCTGTTGAGGTAATTTTTTCCAGAGAACATGGGGCACTTTTTTCCCCACATTGTTCTCCTGCAGTTGTTCTTGTCTTGTTCTCATGGTCCTGTACCTTCAGACCCTGATAGTGTTGTTATGGTGAGCTCACACGACAGGAATCGTTGGTATTTGCACCATTGGTGGGAAGATCATTCCTCTTTCCTCCTCTATGTTTTCCTTACCCCTTGTTTTGTATACTTCAGTTTGTTTTGCTCTATGTTTGTTTTTCTGTAAAACAAAGTAGATCAGTAATTTGAAAACTTGCTAAATATTATGCAGCATAGTATTATGCTGCATGCTAGAGCCAAAGATCACTGTTTAATCTCCTTTAGTCTTGAATTCCTCTTGACTATCTTCCATGTTTGTCATAGTAGTCAATATCTAAACAGACAGTCACCAAAATCTTAATTGTAGGTATGTGTTCCTGGCTTATTAAAAGATGCTGGCCTTTTGCTGTGCTGGATGAATGCCCTGGAGCAAATTGGGACAAGGAACACTTGTCTGAAGTGTGTTCCTGTTACATTTTTATTCTTCTAAAACCAACCTCAGAGAATTGATGGGATTTTCTTATGTTTAAAAACTTAGACCAATTTGATGGTCTAAAAATAAGTACTTTCGTATACATTTAATGTATTATTTACTACTATTAAAGTAGATGTGTGAAGCAGGTTTCAGTGGAAGGGGAGGTGTTTGTGTTTTGGGGAAGTGATGATTGTAAAGACAAATATTTTAGTGATGCTCTGTTCTTATTTAAAAAACTGAAGAAAAACCTTTATGCTTCTCTTGCTTACAGAAGACATCATTTGTAAGTTCTTCCTTGTTCTTGGTTCATAGGAAATCAAGTGCTTATCGTTGGAAATCTGGACAGGCAGGACCAATAACCATCCAAGCCCAAGTTTTGTCACAAAGCAAAGAAAACAATAATAAGGTAGTAAACTATCAGTATATTTGCAGGTAAAGCTATTTAAAACAAAACAAGATTTAGAACTAGATTTATGCTACGGAACATGGGAGTTTTAAATACTGTAAAAATAAAAGGTTAATCACCTTCTGAGTAAAACTTCTAATGGTTTATTTTTCCATGCCAAGCTTATGGTTTCCTTTGAACTGGAGGAACATAAAGTTCTTTTTGGTGATTTGTTTTTTTAATTGCAATATATAGCAAATTATCATCACTTCTACAGATTTAATATTGTAAGTCTAATTTGGTAGTGAGGGAAGTCATCAGAAGCCTGTCTTTCAAAGCTCTTATGTCCATTATGAGTTTCAAATACAGGGCTTCATGTGAAATTTTGAAGTTCTCTATCTTCATAGATAAAAGCTATAAGAAAGGCATACAACATTAAAATATACTACAGTTAAAGTTTTTCTTTAACTTAGTCACTGTGTAATGGCATCTGAATTCACAGTGGAGCTTCCATATGACTCTGTGGTTCATTCTCTCCTTCCCCCCCGAATCTGCGTGTCCTATAAAGCTTTTTTATGATGCTTCTGGATTTCTTTCAGTAAGTACACAAGAAGACTGAGAACCCAGCTTGCCTCTTGACCCACAGTAACTGGAAAAGTCTTACATTCATCCCTTGAGGACTGGTGCCAGTTGGTCAAGTGTGGGTTAAACAGATCTTGAAGCATTCTCTTGGACAAGGACTGGAGTCAGTCCATTCTCATGGACTGAGATTGAAGGCTTCTGAGCATTTTAAAATGTGGAATAGGTTTATCAGTTGGCTCTTGTTTTATGATGTCCTTGTTCAGTCCTAAAAGGAGGGATGTAGAAATTCGCTGATGGATCGTGGAAAATTTGTTCTCTTTTTAATATGTAGACAATGGGGTATTTTCCCCTTATTTCCTTTTGGAAATGACTATGGAAATTTTGCTCAAGCTCTCAAAAAATATTAAGGATAAGGCAGGCATATGGGAATGGTAAAAGTTGTTCAAATTTGTAAGTAGCTGAAGACTGGACCTTGTAGGGAGTGTTACCACTTTGAACTGTAATAACTTAGTATTTAATTCTCCGGTGAAATAAATTTATAATTTTAATAGCTTAGGCTCTTGTCCTCGAGGCTTTATACGTCACGGAAGCAAGCATTGGGTGTATCCATCATCAAATAATGTTCACGAGTGCCGTTAAAATACCAGTTGTGATAACAGAGCTTATGTTCTTTACTTGTCCCATGAATTAGTACGAAAAATCTGTAGGGGATCCCCAAATCCAAACTATTTCAACTTAGAGATACTTCCTCTTTCCTTTAGCAGACATTGATGAGTCTGGAGAGGCGTGCAAATTGGACCAAGTGGGACATAAAAAGAGAGTTTTCTCTTATGATTTTTTTTTTTCTGGAAGCTAGCCTACATATGCTGTGTTGAAATGAGAGCTGTTAATTAAGAGAGACCATTTGAAAGTGGCTGAAATAAGGCACACATAAGTCTGAAGAAAAAAACCAGACAATGACAACCTCAGACTAAGCTGTCGCAGTTCCTATTTGAAGTCTTTTGAAGCAGCAGCAGTTTGGTGTGAAGGTCTTCTCAGCCAGTACACTCAATTTCAATAAAATTGCCTACTTGTCTATGATGAGAAGAGAGGATCAGAATGAAGAGGTTTTCTTTAACCCACCTTTTTCTCTTTCCCCTTCTCTGAAACAAGCAACTCAGAGCTGTTACTACTTCAAAGACTTCAGATTTCAGCTGTGATGGCTAAGGAGAAGATGCATGGGACAGAATTTTCGAAAGGGCAAAATTAAAATGCCTGAAGATGCATAAGAATGCGTAGAGGAAAGTGAACAATTAGCGTGGGCTCTGTTTGCAGGGAAAAAACAGAGAAGCAAAAATGTTGAAAATGATTAGTTACTGGGGTTCTAGTTCATAGAAGGGTAATGAGGAGAAGCAGGAGGTAAACAAACCAACACCTTCCCCCAGCAAGAAACTATAGGTAGATCTGTGTGCAGCAGGCTTCGCAGGCTGCCAGTGGGGCCGAGGGCACCAGGACTCTGGAAGTTGTGCAGGTCTGTGCCTGGCTGGGCAAATGGGGACGGTGCCACATCACCGAGGAAACTAGTCACAGACTTAATGCCTGTCATGATCAATACAAGGAGTTTTCTCTCTAAATCCATGCTTGGCTGTTTTCCTAGAAACATTTTAATTCTATAGAAGTTACACTTTTATTTATTTTTACTAGCAACTTACATATATCTCTCTATATATGTAAATATTCTTCCATATAGGTTTCTTCGGGAAAGGTGAAGTTGCAAATACTCAAAGAACAGATGCAAGGTAAAGACATCTTTGTTAACTAAATAAAAACTCACAAACTTCCAGTAGAGTGTCTGGTTTTTGGAGGTTGCTGCAATTAAGCAATAGAGAAATCAGAGGCTGGAGTACAGTGTTTGTTGGAGTGCTTTTGTTTGTTTTTTCAGAGTCAGTGGAAGAACCATTTAAGCATGAAATGGCAAATGCTGTAGGTCATGAAAAACCTGAAGTGAAGGGGATAGCATATGGACTAGGTGAAATTAAGAGTGCGCTCCTGGTAAGCAAATGATTTAAAAATTACTCTATAGCAACAGAATATAATGTGTATGTATAGTGGCTTTGTGGCATTGTCTAGACATACGTGTGTTATATAGTGTAATATGTTGTGTAATAGATTACCTTGGGTTTGTCCAGGCTGTAAGCTCTGTATGGTCTGCCCAGCCAGGCTGTCTGACCTGGAATTCACTCCAGGTTCCTTCATGAAGAGACCTACATCTGGAGGTACCTACGTGCAGATCTGAGCAGTACTGTAGCTCTTCTGTAGGGTACAGCTGTATCACGATAGTCTGTGGAAGTCGTCACGCTAGCTGCCTCTGCCCCTTCCGTAAAAAGGAATCATTTTGATGGCAGTGTTGCTACTTTGAAATGATAAAAGTCAAGGAGTCCATTTGAACTTTTAGCCTTAGCTTTTCTGGTGAATTGAAGATTTGTCAATACCTTATTTTTGCAGTTTGTTCTGCTGCGGAAAATAAGACTCTCTAAAATGGTCAGCTTGAGGTGCCATAGCGACTATTAGATGTGCAGCAACTTAAAAAGAGGAAAAAATTGCCTAAATATTTGAGATTAATTTGATCCCACCTTATTTAAATATCTCGCTGGAATTGAAATCATACTAATAGATTTTTTTTGCATTTATTTCCCAAAATATGTTGGTGATATCCACTTTAGGATTTCTTGCTGTGATAACTATTTAGTGTGCATAAGTAAAAGGGAGGTTTTATGCACTGATCTCACTGAATGGCAAGGAAACAGATTAACAGATTCTGTCATCAGAACTGTTATCAGTTCTTTAACAGGGAGTTTCTATAAGCTGTACTTCTATTAATTTGCCCAGCATGTGAGTGTAACTGAAGAAGACTGATCTCTTAACTGAAGAATGCTACTGTATGATTAAAATAAGACATATGGTTTCAGGCAAACAGGTCAAAATTGAGTGGTCTGTGAATATTTTTTAATTTTTAAAATAATTTGATAAGCACCAGGGCACATTTTTAGTTTTGACTGTTTCCGGAGCTGGCACTTGCAGGCTGTGTTTAGAGTGCAAATTAGTATTATCAAGTATGAGGTGATTTATATTTAATAGAGATTTTGCCTTTTAGCAAGTATAAATAGGAGCCTCCAGAATATGATACAGCCCCGTACAGTTGCATAATAAAATAACATTTTTTTCTAAAGAAGTAGCATCTCTCTTAAAAAGATCTTCTACTTTGTAGTATGTACCATGATATATTCATATTGCTTTCATAGCAAATTACAGCAGTTGGAGCTGCTAACACTCGAAACCGAAGGAACAGGTATTTTATTTGTGTAGATTGTTTTCATGTTTTTTCATGAGGGAAAAAATACCTGTGGATTTTAAATTTCTTCTAAGATTCCCTGGCACCAAAGCCACTGGGATTTTGCTTCTTTGTTCTTTTTTTCTCTTCCCCCCCCCCCCCCCCCCCCCATTTCATTAACCCTCACCGCCAAATCTATACCCTCTCAGTGTACTCAAGCTGAACATCCCCAACAGTGCAAACTGTGGGATTTTTGTTTTTTTTTTTTTTTTAACCCTCTTTCTCCTGCGAGTTGCTCCCGCGCGGTCCCACCGCAGCCTGTGGCCGGTGGGAGCCCCGCCGTCCCGGCCGTGGCGGGCCGCCAGGCGGCGCTGCGCCCCCACAGGACGCTCCGGCCGCAGCTGAGGCCCCGCCCCCTCCCCCACGCGGGGGTCCCGCCGGAGCGCGCGCGGCGGGAACGGCCCCTCAGGTGGCGGAGCCGTCATTTGCTTTGGCCCCGGCGTCCCGGCCCCCTCGGGTGAGGCGCTGCTGCCCGGTTCCTCATTCCCGCTCCCGTTACGAAGGGGTTACTGCCACGCTACCGCGTGGGGCTTGCTTAGTCAGTCAAAAGTTGTTTTGTGTTTTTTGTTCGTTTGTGTTTGTTTGTTTTTTTTTTTTTTTTTTTTTTTTTTTTCAGTTAAAAGTTGTCATGGAAGCAAACAGCATAGCTGTTTTATTGCGATAGTTATTGAAAAAAAAAAAATCATGCTGCCTTTTCTGTTGCCTTGATGGATTTTATAGTTATGCACACCTCGGAAAACAGTTAAACTGAACCAATGGTGGTGTTATGTGGTTGGAAATATGTAACAAATTGCTGGGTGAGGGGATTTTTACACAGGCTATTTGAAATACTCTTATTGGTGCATTTGAGACTTCCAAATTGTTGGATGTTAAGCAGTCTAGAAAAAAAAAATTTGTAAGTACTAAAATTGGTCAAAGGTGTTTGTTCTTTAGTCAAAGACTATTACATACCCTTGTGAGTATTTAACAATCTGTGTTACTTAAGTACAATTATAATGAAGCTTGAAACTCTGACTTCCTGCTTATAATTAAGTCACTTATTTCCAATGCTACTGTCAGCATTCCTGATTCTTTCATATTGGGATTCCACTCACAAAGGAATACAGTGTGATGGAAGTAAAATGTTACGCAGTACAGTGGACACTTAAATTGTGTGTAGTTTTATTTTTCAGTGCAGTAATACCCAGCTTCTGACATACAACTTTGTTGCATATCTGTTATGGAACAATAAAAGTTTTATAATTTTATAATGAGGGTAGTAAAGTTTCTTCCTAGAATTATTGTATAACACTTAATTGTAACGAACTTAAATTTCTCATGCATAATATCTGATTGTATTTCATACATGGGTTGTAACAACTTTTTTTGGACCAAATTGCACATGCATTTTAGATTTTATCTTTTGTAAAAACCACTATGTTTGTTATTGTAAGGTTATTCCAAATTTGGTTTTGATAAATGCCATGATTCACTTTTTTAAATACCTTTTCAAATACATATTATTATGCTTGTTTTAATTTTCGTTCATTCCTGCGTTAATGGTGACTGTTTTATATCTGGACTAAATGAATCAAAGAAAAGCCATGTCAGAAACTTTATGAAAAAATGTCTGGATTCCTATTTCATTGTTACGATTCCAAAGACTCAGAGTTACTTTATAGTGAGGATGCGCACTAGCGTAAGCATAGAAAATGTAGATACATCGACTTAAGACCCTATTTCATTCCTACCATATGAGATTTTTATTAAGGCAAATTTTACTTTTCGGTGATGTCACTGGCTAGGTCATTCAGTTATCCTGCTAAAATTTATTTGATCATCTCATTCTTTGCAGAAATAAAATCCTTTTAGTAATGCAGTAAATTGTTAAAGCTATTGGTCTGATAAATATGTTCTTGCTGAAATGATCCTTGCTTATAGTGTGTTAGTAGAAAGATTATGTCATTTGATGGAAAAACTTCAGGTGAGAATTTAAGGCAGTTGCAGAAGGATACACCATCCTGTGAGTAATGAAGAGCCAGTGATAAATAATCTTTTTGGGATGATGTGATATCCAGAGTTAGGCAGTGGATATAAAAGTTTTTCCACAAGCTATTTTGCATGGATATAAAAATAATTCACCACACACAACTAAATGCAGACTGTTTAGGATTTTATTTTTTTTTTTCAATAGAGTGTAGCAGATCTTTTAAAGCTAGGACTGGAAACTGAGTGGTAGTGATAGTAAGGTATTGGTGATAAATCTTGACATTTGTAATGCGTTCTCTTTTAGACCTTTTTTTTTTTTTTTTTTTTTCTTTCCAAAGGGATAAGCTACTTATCTCATTTTTGGTGGTAAACAAACTGGATTGAGATTTTGGAAGTTTATTTGTGGGGATTAAAGGTCATAGAGCGGTTCAGTGGAAGAATACAAGGATTGAAACAGAATCATGGAGGGCTGTGTTCACTCCAGCTCTGTTGGGAGAATTCCACCTTTGTTGTTGTGATTCTCTTTGTCCTGCTGCCCATCTTCTTCCCTCTTTCCTCCAATCCTACTCCTAGATTAGTTAGAAACTGCCCCTTAATAAGGGGAGCTAACAGAACAGTGCAAGAATTAGAAGCAAAAGGTGTCTTTTGCATTTGGAATAGAAAACAGCTGTAATCCCATTTTTTTCAAAGGGGGAGAAGGATATAACAGTCCAAGTGAGGTTATGTAATTCTTGATCTAGAGTTTTTGCTTGTGTGAGTGAGGACGAAAGGCTGTGTTTAGAGAAATTATGCAATAGAAAATTTCAATGCAATCACTCTAGCTGTGACAATCTAGAGAAGTGCTTTCCAACTTTCCCGATGGGTCATGTTGCTTCTGCCCTGGACTCTCTCCTGCCCCGTTCCTGACTGCTGCTTTGGGAGTAGGTGTTTTTGATGCCTTACCAACTGAAATAGCAGAAAATTAGTGTCTTAGTTCAACTGCTGGGAAGTTTAACATGAGGCCAGAACAAATTAGCTTTGCAATTATTCTCTAAAATCAGTTTTGCAGTTCTTGCTTAAGTACTTTGAAGCAATTGAGAAAAATCTCAATTAAGATGTTCATGTTGTTTATACAAATAACACAGCAGGGTGAGCCTTTCAAGTATTGATATGCTATTATATACTGTGTGCCAGAGTACCAAAAAGAGCCATACGTAACGCAACTGTGCTTGCTCAAAGAGAGCAGATGTATCAAGCTATGTCAATAAAATTATCTCCTTCAGAGGAATGTGACTTCTACTGTAATGTTGACATTCTTTTCTTCATGTGGTGAAAAAGAAATCAACACACTCTTTAGCTATGTACTTTTGAATGCGTGTACCATAGGAGACAGAATGAGCCAAGGAGAAGGGCAACCACAGAGGGAAATTCCCCTCTTTTTTCAGTTTAAGGATATACTACTGTGATCTCCATGTGTGTTAGGAACATGTTGTTGATAGTGGGGAAAAAATGGTCAGTTATGGATGGCTAAGGACTATTAAGATCGAGGAAAAAGACAAAACACACCTGTTCACGTAGCAAACTTTGAACCTTATTCATCCTACATTGTGATATAAGAATCAGAGGAAGACTGCAAAAGGGAAAAATAACTGCTCTTGGAAGAGGTTAGTCTCCCTGCATACTGGCTGGCATGTCACAAGTGCTATTTAATGTGCAACCAGCATCTGCAAAGTCCCTGGGTCGATTATAGTGTAGAGTAGGTGGAAAGGAGGAGATGTGAGTACTTTCCAGTTTTGCAATGGCTGCTTGACATTTTTGACTCTTCCTGGTTACACTTTCTGCCTGTACCTGGACCGCTCTTGTGCTTCTGTGGTAAGAATATGTACCTTACTTGAGGATTTTATAGACAAGGGATCTTCCTTCTGGTCTTTGTGCATAGGGCAGGGACGTAGGAAAGGATGAACATAAGGTACGTTTTGTTTTTTCTTGATAATGATTCAAGAGTTGGTAATCAAAAACCTTCATATTACATTTTCACAGTAATTTTCTTTCTAGTGAAGGTTGCAAATCAGTGAAGTCCCAGTGAGTAAAACTTAATCTTCTTCTGTAGCTATTTCAGTCAAACTCATCTTTATAGTTTGGATTTTACTCGACTATTTTTTGTGTGTGAACAGATATTCCAGTTAGTTCCTTAAATGAACATTTTCCTCATGTTGACCTTTACAGATGTGCTTCTGTCTACTAAAAAGCTTCAGTAAGCAGAACTTTATTAATAAAGAACATAGCTCATAAATTAGTTTTAAATGATTTGTGCTGCATAAAAGGCCTCGCTTAGTCTGTCTTGTGTAGTACCTAATGGAATATTCAGATTATAGAATTTCTGCTCACACATTTGCACACTGTCGATTATTGAAATTATTACATGCTTATATCACTATCACTCTTCAGTATATAGTTACCTACCTGCTTTTAATATGCTGTTTGTTGGAGTGTTTGAGTATATTTATAATAAATTTATGGTTTCATAATGTTTCATTAACAGACAGAAGCTGATATACATGTTGGAAAGCTGAAAGTCATTGATCGCTTCTTCAAGGAAGTAAATTTGAATGAATCGAAAATTAATCATGAGCAGAAGAAAGTAAACAGCAAGCATCAGGTCACATCAGACAAGTTTTCATCTCTCTTAACATCAGTAGGCAGTGCTGAGGTAGTGTACAGGTCGGGGAAAAAAATATTCTTTTTGTTTAGGACACCTTAGGTAGACTGGCCTTTGGTTTTTCTGGAGTGTGGCAAGTGAGGGATCCGGCTACTGGCCTTGCACAGCCCACGGGCCCCTGTTCACGAGGGCTCTCAGTGGCTACTGCTTTCTGTCTACTAAAAGCATTTAAGTTCAAACTTTTTGGGTGTGCTTATACAAACTTATTTATTTATTTATTTTGCTGTTAATGGAACATTGCAAGTTAGTTGTGAGCAAGACCACATAAAAATTGAGTCATCTTGATTTACCAGGGCAGCTAGGCTAAGCCGAGAAAACAGGGTGCTGCATTTCCATAGCCGACACTAAAGATGTTGTTGCTCTTGTGTGTAACTGGGGAGAGGATTATCATCAGAAGTGCTGTATTAATGATGTTGTGGCACTGATTTAGGAGCCGTCATCAGAATCAGCCTGTACAGCCCTTGAAAAACAGGACGGAGGATTATTACTAAATGGTGTATTTAATGAGGAGGAATCTGCAAAGTCTTTTCAGGAAGCATTGCTTCAATGGAGAAAAGGTAATTGTGATCACAGAGAACAACTGCGTGCCAGTGAGGTCCTATCAGGTAGGATTTTTTCTGTTTTAATCACATTTTAAAAACATTAGGAGCCATTTTGGTGAGAGAACAGATTTTTGTTTAGTGAAGCTGGATGTTCTATTAGAATAGTAAATGTTGATTCTTAAGTTTTCTTTCTTACGTTCCTTTATAAATTAACAGCAACCTCTGAAGTTTTTTGTAATAACGTGCAGATTAGTGTTTATCTCAGTTCTTGTAATGAGCAGTGGCGTTGGCCAGGTTGTTTAGCTTGTATCCCTGCACTTTTTTATGGCATTCTCACGTGAGACTTTAATATGAGCTGTAATGCTTAAGCATAAAGTTACAGCTTTTAACTGAGACAAGGAATGTGCATGGCTCAGGGTTTTGTATGTTGTATCACAGTGTATTTTCTGCTTGCCTTCCACAGGCTTTTAATATTTCTTTGTCCCAGTGAAAAGATGCAATCAGTTGAAGTATGCATGGAAAAATATGAGAAAACCCTCTTGTCTGATTGGATTTGTGCAAACTAGTCTCTTTCCTCTAGTCCATAGCTGGTTGTTCTTTGTGTATTTATGTACAAAAAATCTTACACTGATTTCCTTTTCTCTTTTTTTTTTTTTTCCTAATATTGGTGGCTGTTTAAATTTTGGACTTATGCAAAGACTTAGCTATGCATAGACTACTAATGTGACATTCATTCAAAAATAATGTAGTGAAATAGCAAGCTTATAAATCTGAATAGCTGTATAAGTGTTTTTTGTTTTTTTTTTTTCTTTTCAAACAATTCTAATAGAACCTGTGGGAATTTGTGAGGTACAGACCAATCTTACAGTTATGAAGGAACCTATCCAAATTGAATTCAAGGATGGCCTGAGCTACATGGAGAAACTGTTGCTTAAGAAATACAGAAGGTATTGTTGAAATTGCTGGTACTAATAAAAGAAGTCAGAAATACAAAAATTCCATCAAAACTTTAAAAATATTAGATGTATTAGCAAGAGTTAAGGTGACTTTGTACAGGGTGCTGTATTTTAATAAGCATTATAACCAGACTTGATGGCTTAATATTTCAGAATTACTGCAGAGGTAATATTTGGAGGGATTCTCTTTGCTACCAGTTTATTGTAGAATTTGAAGACTGGTAGTGATACTTGGTTGCTTGATTTTGGGACATTTGCTACAGAGAAAAAAGGAAGTACGATCTTCAGGATAATTTTATAAATGTTACAGAGTTGTTTTGTTAGGCCCTGAGGTGTGAGGTCATCTCCATGAAATCAGGAAGAGTTGCTGCTTTTCAGTAGCAGTTAATAGTGCTGTAGTAAGTAGTGTGGTGTTTTTTTTTTTTGTTGTTGTTGTTTTGTTGTTTTTTTTTTTAATGATTGTGATATTGCATGTGAAAAAATGATGACACTTTTAAGATTGATTTCTTTCCCTTTTTTAGAACTCCTATTAAACAAATTTCTGGGAGTTGCGTTAAAGATTTAAGGCCTGTGCAAACACCAAGTGTACATCAGGCTGTGTTTGGAGGAGGGGGAGAAGGAGATGATGATGATGATGTCAGTGACTTAACAGGTGTAATAGATTTCTGTTTGTTTTATCTAACTTAAATATGTTTTTTTGGGATTGGTTTTGTTTGCTGTTTGCTGAACAGTTACACATGTAAGCAGTTCCTGCTTAGAGAAAGTAACAATAATGAAAGAAATGTATAATACTTAATAAAAAATAAAAAGATTGTATTTTTATAATATATATTCATATTTATTACATACATTTATATTATATGTTTATAATATACAATAAATATACTTATAAGGAAAAAGGTAATACATCAAATTAATTATATTTCATAGTTGAAGAGGTGAAGAGATACTGGACATCTGTTTTTAGAGAGGCAGAACCCAACACTATTTCTCAAAGTCGAGAGTCCTCTTTGAAAATTGAGTTCCTTGATGATGTAAGTATATAATAAAGGATTTTATTGAATCTTCACAGTGGTCTGATTTGTTTAAATATTGATCTTTTAAATATTTAAAGTAGCAACAGTTAAATAATTTATAATTTTAAAAAATATTGGCACATTGTTTATTTTTTCCATACAAATGTGAAAAATTTATCTTTCCAAAGGTTCCCTGTAGTTTTTTTCTATTGTGTCCAAGGACCTTTACTATATAGAAATTATACAAAAGTAAAATCTGCAGGCTTTTAATCACTTGAGTTAATGTTTTGGGTTTTTTTTTAAATGTTAATCTATTGCTGAATATGTTTTTGTTTTGGTTTTTAATTAGTCTTATGACAAAGACTTGGAAGAATCGTCTAACTTCTTTGTGATGGAAGCTGAGGCTGTGGGAATGAATAAGCAAGGAAAAACTGAACCACTCAAGCACTGTGGAAGGTATCAGAAATGCAGATATTTGGAAAAGAGAATAATCCTATCTTCTGATTTAGGCACATTCGTAAGAAACCGCTGCTTTTATTTGCAGACCGTCATGCTTCATATGAAAGAGGCGAATCCTTGGTTGTAAATTGTTTTAAGACATGGTTAACGTACATTTTCTCATCCTTGGCACAAGGCATAGACTGTGCCAGTATCGTGATGTTTAGTTCCTGCCTTCACTTCCTTTCCATTTCTTTCAAGATCCTGTCTGTGATTGCTGGTGTTTGTCCTTGAAAGTTTTTATTTGAATGACCTAATGATTTGATGACTGATTTGTAAGACATTCTGAGAACAATTTGGCAGTTATCAGCCATAGGACACGTTTACCATTAAAGTTATTGAATAGTTAGTTTGTATCTTTGACTTTGTCAGTGAGCCAACGAGGTGTATTAATTGTCTGTAACTAGAGAGACATCGCTTTGGAATGACTTTATTTTGTTTGCTTGATCACTCCAATGTTAAACCGTGTAAGGTACATTTCTTTATATGTCTATGTCCTGAAATACAGGTAATAATCTCGATTGTAATTGGTCAGTGTTGTGTACTTCTAAGATACTCTCACTCAACTAATTTTATAATTCCAGGCAAAACTCAGAGTCCTAATACATTAACAATACGTGTGCAATTCTTCTGGTCTCCCAAAATATATTTATGATTAGATGTGGTCTGGTTTTTTTTATGTTGCTTTCTTCTGGTCTTTCCTCCTTCCTTGGTTTCAAAGTGGTTCAGCAGCTGCAGATCAGAACAACACGATACCAGACCTTTTGTCAAGAGAAACTGCAGGCATAATGGGAAAGTGATCTTGTCATTTAACTTTCACAGCTGACACTCAATATATTTTACCTTTTCCTCTTGACAGAAATCCCGTTTCTTCTCAAGAAATTTCTCAAGGTAAATTTGGAATATATTTGTATATATTTTGTATAAATTTTGAAATATTTGTATAATATAAATGCAAAGATATAAGCACAAAAAATAGTGTATGGAGTTTTATCATTCTCCATATAGGATATGCTAGTCAACTGTGAGGGCTGTCTGAAAAAAGTAATTCAAGACTGTGAAATTATGTACTATTCCCTGAGCTCTGTAGGAGCCTTGGCCACAATTTAATGGGCTGTGCAAGTGATTTTGAAATGATAGGCATTCAATGTGACAGTAATCTCACAGCTCTGAGCTCATATTTGAGGGAGAGACTGCCCCAATGAGCTGTATACTGAAAACAAACTTGTTATAAAGCAAATTAAGTGATCTTGCAAATCTGTCAGTTTGTACTGTATTAGATTTAATGCATGACACGTGTCCTTTTTATACAGAAAAACGCTTTTAGATAGATCGGTTGAGAAACTATAAATGGTTACCTGTTCTGCATGAAAGATCATCATTTATATATAAGTATTCCAGTGCCTGTTGCATGTCAGTGAAATCACCAGGAAAGTTTGACAGCTTTATTTTGTGGCTCTCTTAAAGGATCCCAAAGATCATACTCTGTGCCTTAAGACTATGTAAAATACATTGTCACTTTTATAATATTAAGAAATAAGTTCTAATGTAAAGGTAATTAATTTCTTATTCTTGCAAGTACTGAACAATTGCTCCAGCACTTCAGACCTAGCACTTGTTCTCTTTGTGCTGCTCAGCTCAAGAAACTGCTTATTTAAGTCTTCAGATGTGAAAAAGCAAACAAGAGCTGACTAATGAGATGTGATTTATGTGCTTCTTTGGGCACAGGATAAAAAAAATAAAATGGCTATGTCTTCTACAAACAAAGAAAAACAGCTTGGAGAGTCATTCACAGCCTGATAGTATGTATTTCAAGCCATTATAACGCTTTTAAAGAAATTTTATGAAGTTGCTACTATTGCAGTTCTTAAGCTGCTTCTGGTTAGATTATAGCATCCTAAATGTGAAAAATTACATTAGCTTGAAGCAGTGGTTAGAAACACGTTAAGATTGTTATTAAGATCTAATGTTTTCATAGATAATGATGTACAGGAGCATATGCATTAGATACAGAACTGGTACTGCTACCTGGTAAGTCTAGTCCGTGTATGGTGGCAGGAAGCTAATGAAAGTTACCTGTACTTGTAATTTTGTGGCTTAGCGGTACCTTCAATGGATGTTTCATATTTTAAGTTCATGAAGAAAATATAGTAGGCTTGCATCTTATAATTCATACTCGTTTCCATTAAAAAATTCATCATGTTTTCATTATTTTGTCATACTCTTGTAGAAAAAATGGTTGTCTACAGTCCTCTTGAAAGAAATGTAGTGCAAAAGGAGAGTATTAAACTGAAGACTATGAGAAGATCATTTAGCTCCTGTAAACTACCTGAGAAGACCTCTAACCTTCCCGAACTAATGAGCAATAGATATCTCCTTGAGAAAACCAATGAAGAGTCACAAGAACTGGACAGCGTCTGCAGTAGTCAGAGTTTGGGTTTGCCTGTAATTACAAAGTCTTCAGCGGTAAAATATTACATCTTTAATTGCTACATAGATAATTATGTTGCTTAATCTGATTTCCCAGTTTAGCATGAGGCAACATAGCATGTTCCTGAATCAGCTGAGAGATAGTGATAGTTGTGTGGTTACCATGAAATATGCTACTGCTTTTCCCTGTTCTTCTCCAGAAACCTGGCCCCAAACCAATCGGGATTATCGTTTTAATCAGAGCGTTGTCACTGCCTACCATATTTCATATGTAGGGGACGAAGGCATCTGTGCTTTCCACTTTGTATTGTCAGTCTTCTGTTGATTTTCAAAAAAAGCAAAAGAAAGACCAGACTAGTTTTGGACAAAAAAGGGTGTGTTGCGGGAGAAGACAGCTCTTCCCATTTTAGTATCAAGGTCATTTCACCTCTTGATTGTATGCCAAAAATTGTAGGTACTCTTACCTAACCTAGATTATTCAGATGTTCTTTTGCTGAAAATAAAATTGAAAGCAAAAAATCTCGGAGGAGTTTGGGACATTAGATTTGAAGTCCTTGTTAAACAGTATTACTTCAGTTGATGTACACAAAGATAAGTGGAAACAAAGAAAAAGTGCTTTTTATGTCTATAGCAGAAGAATAGACTCAAACTCTCAGAACATTAGTAATTGAAGTTTATGGGATTTTAAAGCATATATCAAGCAGAACCATCACCCTTATGAATATTTATTATACCAGGCTATCAGAATCATTCCAAGTTTTATGAAATGAGCATTTTATTAATATAAACGTGCAAGGGCAACTTACAAAGTTTCCTGTTTCTTTTCTTGTTTCTAATATCTTTGTGTTTTATTCAAGTTGCAGGATGTAGCAAAAAGACAGAAATCTGGTTCTACACAGTATTGGGGACTTGAAGGTTTCTTTGTTGTAGGTGCAAACCCTAATCATGTAGTGCTTGAAGCGTGTTCTTCACCGTGTGCTGACTCCAGCCCTGTGGACAGTAGTATCCCATTCCCAGGTAATGGCGTACGAATACAATCCTCAAACGATATACATATTTGTCACTGTTGCTGGAACACAGCCTTCTCTTCATCTAACTTGGATCTAGCTTGCTTTTAGAAATCACTTTGGGCTTACAGTCATGCCAACACACAGGAGTGGTGCTGTGGTAAGGTAAAGTAAACTTACTACCTTGGGGTAAATTACGACAGTATAATGCCTTAGGTTTATATGCTTCTTTATATCCCCTGAGAATTTGGTTCCAGTAGGAATTTCTGCTTTTCTTTGTGCATAATATACCTCACAAAAAAATGCTTTTAATGGTGTTTTAATGAAACGACATGTGAAATGATTGGTGAACATGAATATTAATCCTTTGAATTTAGTCTTGTTAATGTGATATTTATGACTTTTTTTCTTTACATTATGTGTAGAAAATTTGTTGTATGACTTCTTTAAATCACACATACTGAATGAAGCAAACATAGCGACAGTAAATGCGTATTAACACAAAACCTGCAAATAATTTCCTCTACTACTTGTTAATTTCAGGAGATGGGAAGTGGGTTGCTGAAAGGAGCTTAAGCAAATATGCCGATAATTCTATAGTTCGAGGTGTCTTAGATAGTCAGTTGAATAGACCTTCAAGTGGTTTGGAGACTCAAAACAGAATTTCTCCCCAGATGGTAGCATGGAGTTATTACCCAGGTAAGGACAGCAGCAGCTTTGAGGTCCTACTTTAACAGATTAATTTTTCTTATGTAAAAAGTAGAAACACTGTGATGATTCTATTGAATTTAGGTTATTTTTATATCTGCTTCTGTGTATTTGCATTTTGGGCATAATGGTTTATATACATGGCATTGTTTTCATAAGAATGGGCTTATGAGTTAAAAATGATCTCTTACCAGCTGTCACTAATAATTCTTTTTATTATGCTTAGTTTCTACTCCTACCTCTACCCCATTACTCCCTTCCTAGATTGAAAATTTAAATGATAAACTGTCTAGTACAATGTGGTTTTGAGCTAGTAAAAGATTTCATCATACTACTGAAATAAGTCTTATTGCACAAACTATAAGAAACAAGGAAACACGTAATGCATAACTGCATCTGCACTTTTTAGTTACTTTTCTCAGTTTCAACAGTCTTCATCTCAAGGAATGTAGCTTACATTATTTCTCTCATCTGAAGCAACCAGTTTGGCATTTCAATTTTAAAAATGCTATGTGCAGAAATTGAAACTGTCAGTTTTGAATACCAGAAAAATATTTGAATGTGTCTATATTTTATGTTGCCTTAAATTAAAAAAAGACAAAACCAAAGTTTCAAGCTTTCTACACACATTCTTCGCCTCTCCCCTTCCCCAAAATTTGTGCCATCGTACATACAATTTAAATCAAATTTTTTTTTTCTGAAAGATACCCCTGAAGCATAAGGTGCTACTTCCCAAGATAGTCGTAAATTCTTTATTATATATATATATAATATAACTCTTTATTATATATATATACACACACATTTATTAATTTACAATCTGAAGAAAAAATAATGATCTGTTCAGACCAACTCATAATTTTAACTACAATTAATATCATTAATGAGCCGAGATAAAATTATCTTTGTGTGTGAAATCTTGAATTATTAGAACTTGTGACCTTTTCTGTTATTTCAGGGAATGATTTTAGAACACCTTGGTCAGCAAATATGCCACACTGTAAACTAACTGGAAACTGTCCAACAAGCACACAGCCAAGACCAAAGAGTTCACTTAAGTGTGTGTTTAGAGTTGAGAGCGAGATATCAAAACACAAATACCTTGATGTAACTAAACAAGATGAGTATCTTTGGGAATATAATGCTGACCAAGAAGCCCTGCTTACTCTGGAAAAAGAATTACAAAGTTATACAGGTAAGTGGCAATACTGCTGTTTTGTTTTGTTTTTGTTTTTTTTTTTTTTTTTTCCCTCATGCTAACAGGTAAAATAATGAAAACAAGTAGCTATTTAATATGCCTTCTCAGATCTAGCTGATGCAAAAATGTACTAAATGATTTGATGATGCAAGACTTTTGTGGTTGAACAGTGGTTTACTTCCATTTGATCATGTTTTAACCTACCCTTAATTTAGTAGAAGCAAACTCTTTCATGCAATTTCTTTAATTTTTTTTTTCAATCCTTTGCATTTTGTTGCAAAAATCTGCGGGATTGCTAGGTATTATTTCATATCGTAAATTTCTTTTAAATAGTTTTCCTTTCTTTGGATATTTAATAATGAACATCTCAGGTGGTGTTAGAAGCTAGATGTGATTTGATGCAAGGGTAGCAAAAAGGGGAAGAGATGAACAGGAAAGGTTATAAATCTATCCTGATGAGAACTGCCACTAGTAAGGCATGAAGACATGGTATTACCTATCATTTGGGGTTTGACTCAACCCCCTTTCCTCTATCTTTTTAAACCCATCTCCTTGGTTTTTGAGGGTAGAGGAGATGGTAGGTAGACAAGATCAGTTGGTTATGGTTGAACAGAATGAGTGAGTTCTGGTTTTATTCTTTGAATACAGGAAAAAATAAAATATTGTGATGCTTCTGTTCCATCTCAATGAGGAGATAAGGCTGCTTATGGCACAAAGAGTCTCAGGCACTTGACCTGACAGACTGCATCGCTTAGGCTGTGCCGTGGTCCCTGCCCTCTGAGTGGCTGTGGTGCTTTGATATTGGCAGGTCCTGGCTATGATGCATCTTCAGTGTACAAAAGTAGTCCGGATTCCAGAGTGTTCTAGCTTTGAAAATGTTTTTACCTTAGGTTTTGCTGTATTTTTTCACACCTCTCTTCTGAGGCTTCCAAATACCACATTTCAGGACAGCTGTCCTTCCTTTTTTGATACGTACTCACCAGAACCTGTGTGTTTTTTGGAAGAGTTTCTCTTGTTAACACTTGAAGAATGAACATTCACGCTGAATATGCTCAGAGATGAATAGGGGGGAAGTTATTGTTGAGTTGTCCCATTCTTCCTCTCTCTTTTCATTCTACTTTCTTGGAACACTTTTCATTTAATTATAAGTCCATAGCAAAGACTTACGGCTAGCTGGAAAAATAGTAATGTATATGTATGTCTGTTGTATAAGAAGTATAGACCTTGACACCAGCTGATTATCTATTTGTTTTGGTGGATATGGGATATATCCTGTTACTCTGTTTTAAATATGTGTTACCATTAGTCAGCTACCCAAGTTCTAATTTGCTACTCTATTTTGAGCTTGCGTAGGTATTAGTGGGCCCTATATACAAGGTTGCATATTGTACCAGCATAAACATCTTAGAAGCAAACCCTCTCCGTATTTCAGGTCATGAAAAACGTTACAGCTTGGCTTCTGAAGATACCACCTTCTCCAGAAGACACTCGGAGAGGTTATGTAGAAATACTACAGATTTTCATAAAAACCTGGAGCTAAAAGACCACAGCAGATTTGATACTCTCAGGTAAGTTAAACTTTCTGATATTGTGAAATGCTCAATATGCCAAACGGCTTTCCAGGACTGAGATAAAGCCAGTCTTGACTTTCTAATTGTACTTTACGTGCTGATTACAAGTGTCAGCATGACCTAGTTTCTACCTTAGCATTCCAAGGCAGTACTCTCAGGCAGCTCAGATTAAGAATTAAGTGATATATTTTGTTGTTGAGACTCCAAACTATAAATTTTTGGATTATATTTTATTTAATGCATTAGTTTTTGTTAATATACAGCACTAAGATTTACAAAGTACATCTATTACAAATGATCTAAGTTCTTTGGTTGTCATATACCTTTAAAAAGAGCAGTTGTGAGCAGGTGAGCTAATAAGATTTAACTCACCATTGTCTCTGATATGTCTGTTGTACTGCCTTGGAGACTAAGGAGATGACTGGAAACAAGGAAGTTCCCCAAAGTTCTGTCTGTCATTGGTTTCTTACTATGATCTTGTAACTAGTAAGGGTCAGCAAGACACTCTGAGGTTAACTGCATTCTGTCTGAATATAGGTGATTCTGTTTGGGTTTATTTTTTTTTACTGTTCATAATATTGAAATTGCAGGTCAGTAGAAAACTAAACAGTACTTGCAAATAGTGCAGATAGTAGAAATGAGACCCATTTTCTTAGCTTACCTTTTTCTAGGATGTGGGATGTCTCTGTTAAGGCACAGTAGTGACAATGTTATTTACTTGCTACTTGTTTAAGAGGTGACAAAACTGAAGGGAAAAAATGAATATAGTAGCTTGTAATGTTACGTACACTTGCAAAATATACAGCAAAAGCTATTTTCATGCCTTTTAGTTCTACATATGTGAACATATGTCACTAAGGCTTAAAACAGAGTAGCTTGAAGAATCTGAGCTACTGAAAGTCACGGTGGTATGTTTTTTTTAAGGGGCTGGGATGAAAGCCAAGTGGATGATGAGGAAGAAATTCTGGAGGATCAGCAACAGGTTCTTTCATTACAGTGAACATGCAAAGAACTTTCTGCAATTTCTGTCTTTACCTATCATACAAAAGCAAGAAGCAGATGAAGAGGTGTCTTGAATGCTGCTCACTATATTATTTATTAAGGATTATTTTGTAAAACTGTTAATAAAAATTCTTTAAAAATCCCTTGATTTTGGCTTTTTTTATTAGTATGAAGAAGTAACAGAATAAAAGAAAAATGGTCTTGTGCTATTATTTTTTAGGATTTCTTATATTGTTTAGTTTTTATTCAGTATAAGGTTCCCCACTTACAGATTTAATTTTATGTCTCCAGATGTAGTTTTACATTGCCAACCTGAGAGGTAATGTGCAAGAGGCATTAACGGGGTGTTCTTAAATTGGGGGTCTGAATATGGCCAAGTTTATATGGTGAGATGCATAGTAGAAAGTGTAATAGGTCTAGTATACTTCACTCCCTATCATATATTTGACCACTAAGGGATTTCCATCTTGCAGAATAAAATTAACAGTTTTACACAGTATGTTCTACTTCTGCTATACTCCTTAATTTCAGCAGGTACCATATACTAGCAGTAAGCTTGGCTTCCTCTGCTCAGCATCGATGGGAAGTCGGTTTTCTTTCTGCACTGTACTACTTGCACTGTTCCAAGGTGCCAGTTTGGAGGGAGCTACGTTCAGCATACCAAGTTCACCGGCACTGTAGGTTGCTGTCTTACAGGCCTTTTAAAATTAAGAGAAGAAAGATGAAATACGGTTAAAAGGTGATGTTGGGTGGTTTTGATTTCATCAGACCATTTTAATTTCTCTGATCATGATGAGCCTCAACTGTACTTGTGAATTTGTATAAAAAGGTTTCTTCTTCCTCTTCTCCCCTTCCCAGTTAATGTAAGGTTAAATGCAATTAATATAACTTCAGTGAAAGGTCACTTGGCTGTTACATGCTGACACAGCCACCGAAACCTCTTTACATTGAAGTACTTTCTGCTCTCCCTTTGAGGAGATGCTGAACTGTACCCAGTGGTTGAGTAGTTTTCTGTGGAGGTGGCAGGAAGTTACAGTTTTGAAAGGATCTAAGTGGTGTCTTTTGGTAACATCTTTAGGGTTCTCAGACACAGCAGCATGCTTCAGCATTCTTTAAAGATTTTCTTCTTTCATCATGTTCTATTTGAACGAGGCAGACACTTTTATTTCCTCTGCTGTGGATTTTAAGATGCTTTTCAAAGCACCCTAAAAGCTCCTCCCACCTCCCCTCACCCCCACGTTTTGATCAAAAGAAGTGCTTCACATTGCAGTCACAAAGATTTTTGTCTGATTGTGTTGGGAAATTTTGAATGTGGGATTAATTAAAAGCTTATGTCTGACAATTGTTCTTACCCATTTATGGGTAAATCACCTGACAGGACTCTAAAATTAATGGTAATTGTTATTCACAGAAACTTTCATATAGAAAGAGAATCTTTATATATGTTCTACATCTTCCATCTGTGTTACATACTTCTCATAACTGATTTAAATGAGTTTATAGAAGACTAAATTCAGAGGGCAACACTGTATATACTTTTGACCATCTTGTTATCCTTTTTATATTTAATGAAAAGCTTATGTGTCTACTTTAGTCCTTCTTCACCACAGCAACAGTGATCAGTAAGTTACAAAACTTCATGTCAGATACTTTTATTAAAGTATTAAGGTCATGACTTCCATCACTAAATTGGTTAATTAGGAAATGTAGTATTAAGAAATTAATTTTGTTTATAGCCTCAAATGTTTAAAGATGTCTTTGAGTGCTCATCTTAAACTTGTGATTCTGCGTACGGAGGTGGCAAGTGACCTTCATTAATGTATTGGTGGAAACATTTCAGTATATTGTTTAGGTTCTGACAGTTAAACATATACTCATTTGTATTCTCCTCACACCCCAGGACTCTAATATAGTATGCATTTGTTGTCTGTCCTTCCATCAATTATGCACTAATATTAGGCAGCATAGACGGTAATCTTTTCAACAGTTTCTTTTACAGGAAAAAGTACTTCAGTATCCCTAATTCATAAAAACCAGAGCCGTTGGACTGAACAGACCATTGATTTGATTTCCTGCCTCATTTCTTGTCTTTAAGGTGAGGGCATATTTTCCACCTCAGTTTTCTTTATAAAGTTTACCATATACTGATGCTTTATTATAATAGTTCTTTGCCAGAAATTCCAAGAATAAAACCAGAAAGCAGGTGTTCTACTTTGTAAGGCCAGTGCTTTTCTTTCATTAATATAACCTTTTGTTTCTTTTTGAGTTACTTTTCCAAATATTCCTATTACACTCATTTCCCTTGCACAGGTGGGCTGACTGCTTCCATGCTGTTCTCAGCCTTTTTTTAACTAGAAAGCCAGTGGAGCAGGTGCTACTGTAGTGCGTGCCTAGAGCCCTCAACAGCCAGGTTAATCCTTCGTGTTTGTGCTTGTTGGAGATAACTAGAAAGTCACTGACTGTTTTCAACATCTGATTTTAACAGTTTTCCCTTCCCATCCCTTTTTCTTGAAAGAAAAAAATGCTTCTGATAATACCTCTAACAACCTTTGGACTAAAAATAAGCTTTCTTCAATGTATTAGTAATCTCTTTGGTTAGTCAGTGATGGTTTAAATCCATCTCAGTTTTGTATTCCTCAGTTTAATACACTTGAAGATGTCTTTCTTGTGTTTATTTTTTTATTTTTTATTTTTTCCACTCTCTTCAAGATATAGTGGTGGAACTGATACCCTGACTAGAAGACCAAAAAGAGCATCTGAACTGATGCAGTTCTGTGACATTCATTTCTCGTTTTTCTGTTGCAAATAGAACAAATCTAGTGTTGAAAGCTTGCTGCTTATGATTATGGATGCGGTTTAATGTACTTCTCTGCATTTCTGCCTTGATACGAACACAATGTGCAAATGTTTATTTCGTTCTGGTTTGGTTTCTTATTATTTCCTCCATGCCTGTTGTAGGGGTGGCTGGAGTTGAACCCAAGCGTCAAGGGATTTGCACAGAAGAACGATCTTCCTGTCCATTTAGAGAAGGAGGAAAGATAGGGGGGAAAAAGTGGAAGATCAGTTTATTTTTCTGACCTTCTAGAGTGAGTCTACATGTCTTTTTGTGCACATTAACTTTTGGTAACCTGATTTTACAGAACATAAGTCCTATGAATTAGCTTGGCAATCGGTGTGGATTTTGAAAGAGGCTTTCACACATTATATATTGTACTATTTTAGGATTCATGTGGGCACACCTACTTTTCGGCAGTCTGTCAGACTCTACAGGTCTGTCTCTGTTTTGCCTTTTTAAGAGTGGCCGTTTTCTGCTTTCCAGCAGCTCTGGAATAATATACATTGATGTAAGACTGCTTGGTGGGCAGATGGGCTTACTGGTTTTGGTGGTTATACAGTACAGGAATGGGTAAACCTGGAAAGGGATGGATTACTGGAGAGATTTTGAGGGTCCCTTTGATACCTTGAGAATAAACGTTTCCTTTCTGCCCTTTCAACTAAAGAAAATACATGAGGCATGATTTTTTTTTTTTTTTTTGGTGATGTTTAAATATCAGTACTCCAACACTCAGTGCTTTTTTTTCCCATGATTTTTTTCTTAAGAACTTCATGTGAGGCCCAGGAAAAATCTGACTCCACCACTCTTCTGCTTAGAAACTTGTTGCAAGCATATTTACAACCAGAGAATGGAATAATTTGGGAAGGAGGAAAACCTAGCACGTCTTCTGTCCATTGTCAAGCTTTATGACCTGTACTAAGAGCAGTGTACTTGTGCAGTTTATGTGTCAGAGTGTTGCTGATCTAAGCAATCAGGGTTAGTGTATGACAATAATCGGATGTTCCTGGATGCTCGGAGGAACCCTTGTGCTTCACAGAGATCTGCTCATCTCTGATGGGGAAACTCTACCCATTTATTGAGATTTTGAGCATTACTAGCCCCAGTACATTACAGAATTCTTCCTACCAGTCAGTATTTCTTTTATACCCCAAACTGATGGTGCATTGAGTGGAGCTCATACTGTTCTCTTGAAATTACCTTTCCCTGTGTACCTACTAGATTGCCTGGCACCAGTGCATGACTTTTACAGGTAAATCTATCTGGTAGCAACTTGCCAAGTATTTTTCAGTCAGTTTTTATATCTTGGTGCTTTAAATATCAGTTCTTCCTCCAGCTTGCCAGAAGAGAAATAGCCAGCATAATGATAAAGGAATCGTATGAAATTTGTGTTATTCCCAAATTCTATAATTCCAAGACTTCCATTCCCCTTCTCTTCCTCTAGGTATCTTAGTGCGTTCCAGACGAGGTCACAGAATGGCTGGTGAAGTAGCATCAGACTTGCAGCATCCATCCAGGCTGCTGTGCTGTTGCACCAGATTCTGACGTACGTCTATGTAGGTACTTAATATGAAACAGCCATGTTTCCTTGACCATTAATGAGCAAATTTGCAGTGTCAGATGAATGTGCCTTGTTCTCAGAAGGCAGACAAACTTAACAGCTGTTAACTTCAGTTCAATGCTTATTTCTAAAGCACTTACCTGGGAGTCCTTGAAATATTTTAATAGCCTGCCATTTGGCTGGCTGCCTGATAATGTCTAACTTTGTTATTTTTTTTTGTATAGAAGGGGCACTCATCCAAGTAGTCAAGTTACAGAAACCACGTGAAGTGCTGTCTACTTCTGCTAATGTAGTTGGCTGCACACACAAGCGCGTGTTAAGGTTGGAAAGTGAGAATTGAGATTTTCCTGTTTGTGTTTCATTTCAACCAGTTCTGGCAATGAATGAATTACACTGAAAACACTGGTTGTGACTCTGCTTGTGCTGGTACTCTAAAGATCTCTGGTACATACTCTAAGACTCTTCATCTAACAAAGCAGAGCTCAGTTTTACTGTTTGAGATACTGTCATTTGCTGCATCTCATTTATAAAAATTAAGGGTTATTCTTTCCTCCATCATAATACAGCTTACATGCATCTCATTCCATTATCAGAAACACATAAAGCCAATTAGTTTTAATTTATCTAGAACCCTTAGTTCAGGGAAAAATACATCTGTCTTTCATTTGAAAAATGAATTCTGCAAATTGGAAACCATCAACACAAGGGCATTTCTAAATTATTTTGGTTGAGAGAAGTGTTCCGTGAC